TACTATTCTTTATTTTTTTTAATAGATTTTATTGATTTTTTTACAGAGAGGAAGGGAAAGGGATAGAGAGTTAGAAACATCGATGAAAGAGAAACATCAATCAGCTGCCTCCTGCACACCCTCTACTGGAGATGTGCCCACAACCAAGGTACATGCCCTTGACCAGAATCAAACCTGGGACCCTTCAGTCTGCAGGCTGATGTTCTATCCACTGAGCCAAACCAGTTAGGACAGGTACTATTCTTGTCTTCCTTTTCCTTCTCTTCAGATTTTCACCTATAGTCTCAAATTCCATGATTTTAAAGATTATCTCTAAAATGATTCCCAAATCAGAAATCTCTAATCTTTGTCATGTCCCCATCTGAATTATCAAACTAAATGCAGGAAATATTGGCTCTGTGAATGACATTGCTATCCTCCCAGGCAATTTAATTTTTCTTCTCCCCTGTGCCTCTTGACACTCATTATCTAAGTCTCACTGATTTTTTTAGAGAGGGAGGAAGGAAGAAAAACAGAGAGAGAAGGAGAAATACACACCCCAACTGGGAATGAAGACCAATCCTCTAACCTAGGTATGTGCCCTGATGGGGAACAAAACCTGAGACCTCCAACCAGCTGAGCCACTCCACCTAGGGCTCCAACTTTCTTTCTTTCTTTTTAATCCTCACCAGAGGATATTTTTCCACTGAATTTTTAGAGTGGAAGAGAGAGGGAAAGACAGAGAGAAACATCAATGTGAGAGAAACACATCAATTGGTTGCCCCCTGCATGTGCCCCGACCAGGGCTTGGGCCAGGAGGAGCCTACAACCGAGGTACATGCCCTTAACTGGAATCGAATCTGGGACCCTTTGGTCCGCAGGCCAAGTATCCACTGAGCCAAACTGGCTAGTGCCCAACTTTCAATTAGTCAATTTTCAGTCAAACACTGAAGACTTCCAATAAAACACACTGTGTTCTTTTCCAACCCCATGATTATTTTCCTTTCTTCCACCTAGAACTCCTGCCTCTCTCCAATTCCCCCAAGACATGCATACCCAAGTTATAACTATGCCTTATGATCTTAGGTCAAATGCTATTTCTTCCATGAAGCTTTTATATATTTTATACAATGATTTACATTATTATAATAAAATAAAAAGTTCAAAAAAGATTCAAACTAGCTCTCAAGTAATAGAATATGGGATGAAGATGCAAGCCTGAATTTTCAAAAAACAGACTTTGTTATTTAACTTGATAGATTTCCTATAATTTGTTGTAATGTAAGAAACATGTCTTGCCCTGGCAGGTGTACTCAATGGTTAGAGCATCAGCACCAGAGGTTTGATTCTGGTCAAGGGCACATACCTGGGTTGTAGGTCTGATCCCCGCTCCCAGCAAGCAACTGATAGGTGTGTCTCTGTCACATCTATGCTTCTCTCTCTCTCCCCCACTTCTCCCCTTTCCCTTCCACTCTCTCTCTCAAAAAAAAAAAAAATCAATGGAAAAAGTATCCTCACGCCTCAGGTGTCTTTGTATTAGTGCAGCAGCAGCAGCATCACCAGGAAACTTGTGAGAAAAGCAAATCTTGGGCTCCATCCACCCCAGATGCAACTAATCAAAAATTGAAGATGAGACTTAGCAATCTGTGGTTCAACAAGTCCTCCAGTAGATTCTAATGTACTCTGCAGTTTGAGGAACTAGCACTGGTGGTTTACTTTAAGTTCCTTTTTTTTTAAACTGTTTATTGTTCAAAGTATTACAGATGTCCCCTTTTTATCCCCATAACTCCATCTACTCCATCCCTTCCCCACCCGCACCACCCTACCTTCACCACACTATTGTCTGTATCCAGGGGTTATGCATATATGCATATAAGCTCTTTGCTAATCTCTCCCCACAAACTGTGTGTGTGAAACTAAAACCTGAAAATGGGATTTTGAAAACCAACACTGGAAACCAATACATTATTTAGAACTGTCAGCAGGAACTCATCACACTATTGTCTTTACTACTCTGGCCAAGTGGTTTAGTAGGTTGGAGCATTCTTTCCATACACCAAAAGGTTACAGGTTCAATTCCCAGTCAGGGCACATACCTAGGTTGAGGGTTGAATCCCCGATTAGTGCATGTACAGGAGGCAACCAATCAATATTTCTCTCACATTGATGTTTGTTTATTTCTCTTTCTCTCTCTTTCTTCCTCCTTCCTGCTCAAATCAATAAAAACATATCCTTGGTGAGGATAAAAAAAATAAATAAAAGCAATTAGTTACTGCCTAGCCCTAGCCAATGTGGCTCAGTGGTTGCACACTGACCTATGAACCAGGAGGTCACAGTTTTGATTCCCGGTCAGGGCACATACCCAGTTTGCAGGCTCAATCCCCAGTAGGGGGCGTACAGAAAGCAGGTGATACATGATTCTCTCTCATCATTGATGTTTCTATCTCTCCCTCTCCCTTCCTCTCTGAAATCAAGAAAAATATATTTTTTAAAAACGCAATTAGCTACTCATTATGTGATACTGTAGCTTTGTTCCTTTGTTCCTGAGAAATATAAAACATCCAGACATGCTATGGGAGGAAACAGACCAACAAGACTACAATGATGATACACACAGTGCTTGAATTAGGACATAAAGGTAAACAACCTAAAGCTGTTTAGTAAACTTCTTAAATGATAGCTGGGGCAGGGAGGAGCAGAAGCCATTGTTCACTGGATATATTAGTGCCCCTGTGTGTGCACGCTTGCGCACGCGCGCTCTCTCTGCTTTTTAGTCATATAGTTATAAAATCTGCAAATAAAAGAAAAAGGGGTAAAGCCAGTCGTAGCCATAATTGTTATGTAGTAACTCTAAACAGCATTTGACAGTTTACAAAATGCATTTCAAACCAATCATCTCAGAGATATGCTCTCTGAAATAAAAGATAATGTAAAGGAATTCATACTTAACATAAAAGACATGCTCAAGCCCTGGCTGGTGCTAAATGGTTAGTGCATCAGCCTGCAGAGTGAAGAGTCACGGGGTTGGATTCCCCGTCAAAGGTACATACTTCAGTTGCAAGTTCCCCTATCTTGGTAGGGGTGCATGTGGGAGGCAAACAATTGATGTATCTGTCTCGCATGGATGTTTCTTTCTGTCTGTCTGTCTGTCTGTCTCTCCCCCCCCCCCCGCCCCCGCAACACACACAACCTTTCTCTCCCTCCCTTCCACTCTCTTTAGAAATCAATGGGAAAAATATCCTCGAGTGAGGATTAAAAAAAGAAGAAGAAAAGGCCATGTTCAAAACTAGTCTGGCAGTCTCAGAAATCTAGAAGACACTGTACCTGAGATTACTTATAAACGATGATTCACTTGGGAAGATGTAAAACACTGATTAAATAAATGGCATAAAGCTAGGGCTATAGCAATGCTTTTGCAAGAAATTTAGACTTGTCTAGAGTGGTTTCATAAAGGTATTATAAGAAAGAGATTTGCAAAAATGAAACAACAGAGTGGCATAACAGAACTTTTCAATGGGCATATAAAATTATATCACACTCTCATTTATTAATGCAAAAATATAGGTTTATTATACAAAACAGGAGTTAACTGACCAAAGCAAACAGAAATATTAAAATATTTTTATGGGGAAAAATTTTTATAGGGGAAATTTCAGGAATTCAAGAACTCTTCTATTAAATATAAAACTAAAAGAGGCACAAAAACATAAGTTATCTTCCAGTTTACAGAGACATTTATGTAATTTTAAGAAATGTTTCTGTTGCTTTGTAATCACAGGGAGAAATAAAATAGTTATTTTTCGCTGGCCAAGAAGTTACTACCCCTTAATATCCTACACTTCTTTTGAGATTAGAAGATGATTCTTTGTCACAGGAGTGACTTTGTGAAGGCAGATCTCCATTATGTAAAACACAACAGCTTTATAAACTTTGATTTTCCTAAAAATCTTAATGAGTTATCTTTTTTAAACTTTTTATTATGAAATTTTTACTCATCACGAAAGTAAATAGAGCGCTGGCTGGTGTGGCTCAGTTGATTAGGTGTGGTCCTGTTTACCAAAAGGTTGCTGGGTTGTGGGCTGGATCCTCGGTGGGGGATCATGCAGGAAGTAGGCGATTGATGCTACTCTCTCACTTCCATATTTCTCTCTCTCTCCCTCCCTCTTCCTTCCTCTCTCTCTAAATAGCAATAAAAATATATCTTTAAAGGTAAATAGACAAGTACAACAAAATCATCTCCTTTCCTAACTTTATCTCCCATTGCTGGTTTCCAGAAAAACCAATAAACACTACTTTAAAGTCTGTTAAGTTGGTTAACACAACCCAGACATTCAATAGTTGCAGGCCTGAAGGCAGGTAGGCACATGAAAGCGCTGAATCTAGGCTAAGAGCAAACATCTGGTTCAAATCTCTGCCCCTGCTAATGAAGGCCCAGGAGATATTATAGCTAGTGGTGAACTTTATATGTACCCAATCCTTATATTTTTAGCTTTCCTAGAAAATAAATTTAACATCCTAATGATGGCCCTGGGATTCTGAACTCCTTGCCTTTGAAAAAAAAAATGCCAATATATTAACTTTCTACAAGCTGAAGGAAGTATTAGCAATTTGGGTATCCCTGGCCTACACCAGAGAACTGCAGTCAGATAAGCTAAGAGTCCTGAATCTTTCATAAATATTTCCTTTCTTACCATGAGCCCTGAATTTTTAAAAAATATATTTTTATTGATTTCAGAGAGGAAGGAAGAGATAGAAACATCACTGATGAGAATCATGGATCGTCCACCTCCTGCACACCCCCCCAGGGGGGACTGAGCCCGCAACCCAGGCATGTGCCCTTGAACGGAATGGAACCTGGGACCCTTCAGTCCACAGGCCGACGCTCTATCCACTGAGACAAACTGGCCAGGGTGAGCCCTGAATTTTTTGACAGTCATTTATTTTTATATCAATCTGAACTTGAAGTTTTGACTAAAATGAATATCTTTTTCTGCATTCTTAATAAATAAGTAAAATCTTACCTTGTTTCCTCCTTGGGCCTGGAGCCATCATCATTCTGTGAAGCACCTTTAACATCAATAAAATTTAGAGAGAAAATGAGTTTCAAAGTGGTTTTCATGTTTTTCCTAAACATGGTATGTAAGCAAAGCCTTTTATTAAATCTTTCTAGTAAAGAACATACTAGAATTTAAATTGCAACATGACATTTAAAAGGAATATGTGATAAATATTAAGACTGAAATAAAAGTTTTACCAAAATTTTGTGCAAATGTGGATTACATGTAAGAAATACTAATTAACCAAGGTATATTACTCCTGGGCTACTTCTGTCTTTCTTAAAATATGTTTGCTTAATTTGAATATAAATCTAATTATTTTTAGCCATTTTTGTATTCCAAATATCTTACCAAAAAAGTGCTGATCACCAGCAGAATAATTAATAAAATAGGCTCTGAAAACAGAAAAACCAGTAACATATCTCTAGTGCTGGGGCCTGGAAAACAGCTTCAAGAATAGGAAAGGCACAAATGGGTGTTAAAGTAGCCAAAAATGAATGCTACAATGTTCACACTTTCTTCAAATTTTATTCATGGGAACTATCTCTAGGATTCAGTAAGGGGCTGTATACTATAAAGTATAAAACATTAGAAGAAGGCTACTAGAGGTAGGCACACTGCCACAAAAACAAAGAAGAAAAAAAACTATAAAATGAAAAAACAAGAACTCAAGTTTAACAGTCCAGGTCCATATAGTTAAAGAACAATAGCACCCTATGAATATGGGCATAATTTCAAACAGTGAAATAATCACTTTATTATTCCAAAGCATAAGTAATAGATTAACTCCTTATGAGATGATGAGTCACCACTATACTACACAGCAAAGTTGGCAAGCATCTCATCTGGTATACAAATATTGCATTAAAAAAAATAAATCTTTATTGTTGAAAGTATTACATATGTCCCCCAAATATTGCATTTTTTTAAAATGGTAGAGATGTGTAGATTAAATATGGTATATCTATGCAATAGAAAACTATCCTATTAATAAAAGCCTATGTGGTTGTCACGCCCTCACGTCGTGACGCCCTCAGCAATCACTAGGAGGCTGCATGCACAGTGGGCACGAGGGGGGGGGGGTGCTTGACGGCTGCGTGTGCGGCGCAAAGGCGGGGCCCATGGCTCCACGTGGCGTGGAGGCGGGACCCCTGGCTCTGGCCTACCTCTTTAGGGCAATCCATTGAGGAGCCCAGGATGAGTGGGCAGGGCCTACCTCTTTGGGGTGATCAATTGTGAGGCTCCTGCACTCTAAGAGGATACAGGCCAGGCTGGGGGACCGCCCCCCCGCAAGTGCACAAATTTTGTGCACTGGGCCTCTAATTCAGCAATAAAAAGGAATGAATTACTGAAACATGCTGTAGTGGATTAATCTAAAAAACATTATGCTAAGTGAAAAAACCTGACACAAAAGACCACATATTGTATGATTTCATTTATGTAACATGTCTAGAAAAGACAAAATTTTAAAGACAAACTAGATTAGTGGTTGCCTGAGCCTGAGGTGAGAACAGGATTTCCTATAAATAGGCTAGAGGGAGGGATCTTACTGGGAGATGAAAATGTTCTAAACCCAATTTACAGTACTGGTTGGATTATTCAAATAAATTACTAAAAACCATTAAATTATATAGCTGAAATGGGTGAATTTTATGAAATATAAAATACATATCAATAAAGCTGTTAAAAATAGTTTTTAAGACATGATACAATGATATAATTTTGTTTTATAAGAATTATTCTTATATGGAATACATTCCCTTAAAATAGCTGATAAATAAAACATAAATGAAATCAGAAAATCAAAATATCCAGCATAAGTTACTAAAATAGGTCAACTAGTATCCTACTTTTCTACAAAATTAAGAAAACCATGTGGAACAAACCATTTAAACCTATCAGTAACTACTACTTCTAAACTTTCTCATTTACTATAGTAAAGCATGGATTGAAGGGTCTATGTAGGATATCTTATGAGCATACATAAAAATTTTCAAATGTAAGTCAAATTTTTAAAATACCATTACAGCAAAGTTTCTCTCTGTAAAACAATTAGTTGGTACTCAGGCCCAACTGACATCTGGTAATTTCAAATAATACTGGTAGAGCAAAAAATTTAGGCTAGCTTCTTAGAATGTATTATGCTGATAAAAAAAAAACATTAGATGTATTCACACATGAAAATGGCTATTGAGCCTAAAATTAATGCAAGACAGTCTAATGCAAAAAAGAATAAAATAAAAATGTAATGGAATATACACAATAAGAACCAAAGGTCACATATGCCCAAAAATATCCCCAAATTCATTTTGGGATATATCTCCAGAGATATATATGTTAAATAATATAGATCTTCATAAGAATATTTTATAATCCTATTTTATAATCAAAATTTAATAGTAAAATTTCTCTTTAGGAAAACTAATGTCTTTGACAATAATACTTTTTGGTGCTTCTTGTTGGATGTCATATTTGGAAGAGAGCTGTAAAACACTCCACTACCAACCTCCAAAGAACTAAAAATAGAACTAAAAGTAAATGAATAGGAAGCTCTTATAGATATTAACAACTGCCCACATTCAATTTGTTGAGTTAACTTATATCTGAGGACTATAGAGCTAAGTCTACCAACTAGCAATAAAGGCTTCTTCCCAGAGACTTACAAAAGCAGAATAACTCTGTATTAACTACGGGAAAATACCAGGGCAAATTATGTGGTTACTTTCTAAATCAGCGAAATAAGGAAGAGCATCAAATGTCTCTCTCAAGTCTTGCTCTTGCTCTCATGCTTTCTCTCCTTGCCTCCTTCCCCTCCCCATGTCCCTCCCTCCCTTCCACTGTCTCTAAAAATCAATGGGAAAAATATCCTCAGGTGAGGCTTAACAAAGAGAGAGAGAGAGATCAATGTGAGAGAAACACATGGATTGGTTGCTTCCTGCACACGCCCGGACTGGGCCAGGAATCAAACCAGCAGCCCTCAGGTGTGTGGGCCAATGCTCTAACCACTAGGCAATGCTGGCCAGGGCATAAAGCTCTCTGGTTTTTAAATAAAGTTTGAAGTAAAGTGGGAAGAACAAATAAACATGCTGAGTAAATTTTGTTTCATTTGAAAAAGGTTTACATATATAACTGCCATTTAAAAAAAATATAACCAACAAAAAGAATGAATCACAAATTCATAAGTACCAAAAGAGATAATGCTGAATCATCAGGAAAATCCAACATTCACAATATATCCAAATACACGGCAAGCTATATTATTTGACTACTTTTATATCCAAATTCAGACAGTGATTCTTTTTATTAACATTACTTAATCAATAAAAAATATCAAAGTCTACAAGAACAGATTTCATTATAAGAATCACCAATGGTCGGCTGGCATGGCTCAGTAGTTGAGTGTCGACCTATGAACCAAGAGGTTACAGTTAGATTCCCAATCAGAGCATATGTGGGTTCTGGGCTCGATCCCCAGTGTGGGGTGTGCAGAAGGCAGCCAATTAATGATTCTCTCTCACCATTTATGTTTCCAACTCCCTCTTCCTTCCTCTCTGAAATAATTTTTCAAAAAGAACCATCTATGTATTTTTCCACAAAGACTTCTGACTGAATATGCTCAGGAGGAAAAAATCTAAAAACCTATAAAATTAGAAAAATATTGGAATACCAAAGCTATGCCCCACTCCACCCCAAGTTCTAATCCAATCAAACAATGCCCAGGTGCTAAAAACTCAATTTTAGTGCTAAACTCTAGTTTTCATTTCTGACTTGTAAGTTACAGAAATGGAACCAATCAAAGAAAAATAGAAGTTTAATTCCCACCGCACGTACTTGTGGGCTGAACTGGGTTTTGTTTGTTTGCTCACAACTAACTCATGATTTAATTTAAAGCTGCTAAGTTTTAAGTGTGTTATTGGAAAGAAAATGAAACATAATGCTTTACAACATTATGAGTTAAATGAGTATACATGTAAATACACCAACATTATGCCTACAATATGATAAGCATTAAAAAAAAAAAGTAGCTATTATAGCTGGCAACTCTAATCTTAAAATCCACTATGATTTACTCCCCAGTTAAAAACTCTTTACTTCAGCCCTAACTGGTTTGGTTCAGTCGATGGAGTATCGGCCTGCGGACTGAAAGGTCCCAGGTTCAATTGGGGTCAAGGGCATGTACCTTGGTTGCGGGCACATCCCCAGTGGGGAGTGTGCAGGAGGCAGCTGGTCGATGTTTCTAGCTCTCTAGCCCTCTCCCTTCCTCTCTGTAAAAACCAATAAAATATATATTTTAAAAAAACCTCTTTACTTCAAGAAATCATGTTAAATTCTGCCAATTATTTTCCTACTTGAGTGGTAAACTGATGACATAAATGTGAACTTCTGTAGATAATAAACAATAAAGTCATAAATATAAATAAGCAGTTTAGATTCTACTCTGAAATATGAAGACTAACATGCTTTACTTTTGTTAATTATGAAATATTTGGCATTAATAATAGTTCCAAATTTGTAGGGAATAAACAGGAAGCTATAAAAACAGGGTTAGAGCAGTGTAGCAATGTGATTTAATTATTTATATTATCTTCCAGAGCTCAAATTTATAGAAAAATGAACTATTATAGAATACCCATGAATAGCTGTCAATTAAAATGAAGATATCAATTCTGATGCAGTATGACCATTTCAGAAATTTCTCTTCATCCTCATTAACCCCAAAGAAACCATCTGGAAGATATATCAGGACTACCTGTAAGGTCCTGCTATTAAAAAAGATCATGAGTTAAAGAGGAAGTAGGAAGTCTTCCAAAGTAGAAACAGAAGAATAGCACCTGACAACTATAAAATGTTTCATAATGCAGTTTCTAAGTAAACAAAAAGAACTTTGTCAGGCATGAATCTGTTCTTTGTGCTGCAGTCTCTAAAAATCAGATTCAGCCCGGCTGGCATGAGCATCGACCTATGAACCAGGTCAGTGTTTCATTCCCAGTCAGGGCACATGCCTGGGTTGTGGGCTCAATCCCCAGTGGGGGCATGCAGGAGGCAGCTAATCAATGATTCTCTCATTATTGATGTTCCTATCTCCCTCTTTCCCTCTCTGAAATCAATACAAATATATTTTTAAAAAGAAAGTATCTTTCTAAAAAAAAAAAAGAAAATTCACTTAGTACATGAAAAGTGATGGAAATATCTAAAGAGAATCCACTGAGAAGTAGTTTTATTAAGCATGCTAACTCTGCAGGCACAACTTGGGTGCTATCAAACTTTCAATTTATAGTTCATGTTTACTCCCTTTAACAAACACTAGGAAATCATAAACTGTAAGATATACCAGCATTCATATAATGAATTGGTTTTTTCATTATTATAACACAAAGGCATCTCTACATAAATAGAAGAGAGGTGGCAAATGAATTTCAGCTTGTATTGGCTGTCTGGTACAGTACTAATAAAGATTTCGAGTCAAATTTAAACTTAAACACACACTGCTACAGACAATAAACTATGTTTGCCATATGCCACCTTAACAGCTATCACTGGCCTAGAGAATAAATACTTTATAAATCAATTTATTACCCATAGGGACAACTGTGATTCAACTTTTATTTGGCTAGCCTTTCAACTTACAGAAAGACATCTAATTCATACAAACAATGCCCTAAAAGGAAAATGTTTTCAATTATCAATGTCTCTTTTTAAAAAGAAAATAATGGTGAAGCTTGTGTTGCTCAGTGGATTGATTGTCCCGTGCACCATACAGGTCGCTGGTTCGATTCTTGGGCAGGGCATATGCCTGGGTTGCAGGCTTGATCCACAGTAGGGGGCCTGCAGGAGGCAGCCAATCTATGTTTCTCTATCAATGTTTCTATCTTCCCTCACTCTCCCTTTTTCTCTTTCTAAAACAATCAATAAAAACATACTAAAAAAATTCCTTAAAGTAAAAATAAAAAGGAAACAATGTCTTAAATGTGAAAAGAATAATAAAAATTACATGCAGCACACTAGACTGGCTAATGTAAGGAGAAGCATCAGAAAGGATATATGCACCCCTATGTTCATAGCAGCACAATTCACCATAGCTAAGATTTGGAAACAGCCTGGGTGCCCATTGGCAGATGAGTGGATTAGAAAACTGTGGTACATATACACAATGGAATACTATGCTGCAGTAAAAAAAAGGGAACTCTTGCCTTTTGCAACAGCATGGATGGAACTGGAGAGCATTATGCTAAGTGAAAAAAGCCAGTCAGAGAAAGATAAATACCACATGATCTCACTCATTTGTGGATTACAGAGAACAACATAGACTGATGAAAAGGGACAGACCCAAAGACTGAGAAACAGCGATCAGGCTATCAATCCCCAGAAGGAAAGTAGGGGAGGGCGGGGGTAAGGGGAAGAGATCAACCGAAGGACTTGTATACATGTATAGAAGCCAAACCAATGGGCACGGACAACAGGAGGATGGGAGCATGAGTGTGTGTGTGGGGGGGAGGTTGGGGGTTAATAGGGGGGATGAGGACACATTTGTAATACCTTAACTAATAATAAAAAAAAAAAAAAAAAGAAAGAAAAAAAAAAAAAGAAGAATCATTAATGACCCTATACAAAAAGCGATTACTTACTTTCTGAACATGTAGCTTCACCATTGGTAACAACTTCAGATTCTAACTGCAGCCCATCAAGACAAACTGACAAGTCTCCTATTGTCTCTGTTGGTTCTTTGTCACCTACAAGCTGTAAAGTCACAACTACTTTCTCAACTGGAAGAGAATAAATTACAGAACAAATGGTCATTTTTTTTCTTTAAGTCATCTTAACTTAAAAACTTAATGTCAGGAAAAAAATCTACATATTGATTATTTTTCCCTTTAAGTCATCTTAACTGTTAAAAACAATGTGAAAAAAAATCACATATGTGTATATACATTGTTTTAATATTCTTCACTCAGGGTTTCAGATCTTATGACACCAAAACATTTTAAAATTAGAATTTGCTAACACTTAATAACATAAAATGCTAAATAGTGAGGAAATTTTGTCCAGTAAGTGTGGCTCAGTGACTGAGCATCAACCTAGGAACCAGGAGGTCACAGTTTGATTCCCGGTCAGGGCACATGCTCGGGTTTTGAGCTTGATCCCCAGTGTAGGGCATCTCTCATCATTGATGTTTCTATCTCTCTCCCTCTCTCTTTGAAATCAATAAAAATATATTTTAAAAATAAAATAAATGAGGAAGTTTTTAAAATGAGCATTTGGAAAAGAAAATCTATCAAAATATTAACATTTGTCTCTCTGACGTTGGGATTGTTTTTTTCCTTCATCTCTGCTCTGTATTTTATAGTTTTCCATAATTGAGTATGCAGTACTTTAATAAATATCTATTAAATAAGTGAATATTTATTTAAGACTTTGAATACAAAAGGAATGGCCAAACCAAGGTTACTCAGAATGCTTTAAATAATTCAAGATTCTTCTCCCTGTTAATAATTAAAAATAGTGAACATAATCATTCTGGATGTTTGGCATATGAATTTCCTGAAGAAAAAAGAAACTGAGCATAATTTCTATTACTTTTACATACATACGTTTCATATTGTTTGACTTTAATGTTTCATAGATATCTAGTGCAGCAGTTCCCAATAAAACATCAGATTTCAGTGTCTGGTGACTCCACACGCGAAAATGTAATTTACTCATAGGGGTGACGATACTAAAAATGAAGGTGAAAAAAACTTTTTCATTAAATATCACAATGGAATGCTACATAAATTACAATTAAGTTTTAATGTCTACAATCCTACTGTGCCCCTCATAGTTTACTGTATAACTAATATTGCCTATATTCCATAACCTTATGAAAAACACCTGGATGTTACATGCTTGCATGATCATTTTCCCTTGTAAATGAACTATAGTGGCAACTTCATCCATGCACTGTCAACAAAAGTGAAACTGCTCATCATGCTATAAATTTGGAAAACTAGTTTTAGTAGTATAAAAAAGTGAACTTATAAACTAAATCCTTATTTTACTTCATGTAGTGTGCTCAACTTGAGATTACTTCATTTAATCTTCAAAGCAACCCTATGAGATGGGGTTTAGCATGTTCATCTTCAGATATAGAAACTCCCATTTAGAAGGTTAAGCACATTGCCCAATATCATACAGCCAGTCAGTGGCAGACTGTAATCTGAACAAGGCCTATCATTAAAATATATATTAAAAAGTTCCTCAGTCAACTTTATAATGATTTCAGGATTATGATACCTTACATTTCACACTGCTGAAGACAAATTGTCCAGGACAACTGTCAAATATAGACTCACTCATGCCATGCTAAAGGCCAATAACAAATGCTATCTGTAATGGTAATTTCCAAAGCAAACCTTGGGAAATTTGTATTTATAATAAATTATATTCAAACTATTTGTCATCAATTAGAAAACAGGAACACTATAAAATCTACCATAGTCCTATGGTTCAAAGCTAGGAAGACAAAATCTTGAAAGCTTTTAATATACCTCATTCTCTCTAAATCTTGATCAAATTTTGGGGAACAAATAAACACTCTTCTCCTTAGAAGTCCACCTAATGCCTATAACCCCATCATCATATTTCTACCACCATTTTAATAGTAGCAGGTAGTATTTAAAGCAAACTAAAATATTTTCACTTAATATTGCCTCTCTTTTTTGGTTGTGGTGGTAGTAGTGTGTGTGTAGGGGTATAATATAATGTATTAATTCTCTTAAAAATTCTCAAATGTTACTTTCAGGAAAACATATAGTATATACAGGGTGCCCCCAAATGTGTATACACCCTTTACAGCTGATAGCTCAATTGATGTTTCTTTCTTTTCAGATTTATTATTGGCATTAATAATTATTCAAAGTGTGTATACATTTTGGGGGGCACCCTGCAGTAAGAAAACATTTCTCTATTAGTCATCTGGGAAATCATAATGGAGATGGAATACAAGAACAGATAAATTTAATATTACTTTAATTTGAGAGGATAAAGTATACTGTCAAAGATGGTCTTATCTTAATTATTTCAATTCAACTCTAGAGAAGTCTGAAAAGTCTGCTAGCATAACAATGGAAGCTGTGTTAAAATCACAAGCCAATCTGCTGCAAATTAAAAATTCAGGAGAACATGAGCTATGTGTTCCCTAAACATCTGGGCTAAATAACAGTACTACCATATGGTACTACTTCAAAAGTTTCTTTTTTCTTAATGTTTTAAGCACTGAGTTCATGTCATTATCAGCTTAAGAGTCTCAAAGTATGTATGTATGTAGTGAGCACAGATAGCAGTTGGTAGAAAGTTGATGAGCATTCAGTCTATTATTCATTATAGAGGTTGTGACATTTTATAGATTTCATTTCATTTTTGTGAAAATTTTACTCATATACTGTTTAATTTAGATTCAATCTCTAACGAGCCACTAATTAAAAACAAAGTCTAAGAAATATTAATATTGAAATGAATACAAATGTGGATCATTACAATACTTCTTTCTGTAAATAGGCCTCAAAATGATCTTGAATAAATTTGTGAATTTCACTCGATCAAAATTATCATGAAGTACATTAAGGTGCCTCAGATCTTCAAAAATCCTTGTTAAAGAATAATATAGGTAATAAAGATTAAAGTAAAAAGAATAAATAGGCATATTCAATTTGCTTTGTTTTACTAGGAATAAATACTATCCACATAAGCATGTATCATGTGAAGAAAAGAGCTTTTAGTTTCAAATGTCTCATCTGACCATTTAGAAAAACTTTTTTTAAAGTCACTGGTTTACTTCTTTGAGGGGAAAAAAACCAAGAAATCCAAATGTTAGGTAATGAAAGCAATTTGTGTACTATTAGGTACTAGAGGCCCGGTACATGAAATTCGTGCACTTGGCCCGGCCTGCGCCCTCTTGGACATCTTTAGCGCTACCACAGAGGCGGGAAAGGCTCCTGCCACTGCCGCTGCACTCACCAGTTAGCTCGGCTTCTGGCTGAGTGGCACTCCCCTTGTGGGAGCACACTGACCACCAGGGGGCAGCTCCTGTGTGGAGCATCTGCCCCCTGGTGGTCAGTGCGCATCATAGTGACTGGTTGTTCCGCTGTTTGGTCAATTTGCATATTAGCCTTTTATTATTTAGGATGTGACAACTAGTTACATTTAAACTACATTTTTATATACATTTGGTCCCCAAACCAAATATTTTAAAATCCATTTGTTGAGCTGGCTTGGTGTGGTTCAGTGGTTGAATGTCAACCCATGAACAGGATGCCATGGTTTGATTCCCAGTCAGGGAACATGCCTGGTTATGGGCTTGATCCCCAGAAGGGGGAGTGCAGGAGGCAGCCAATCAATGAGTCTCTATCATCATTGATGTTTCTCTCTCTTTCTCTTCCTTCCTCTCTCTGAAATCAATGAAAACATTTTTTTAATCCATTTGTTGATAAATCATATGAAAAAAGCCTAATACGCAAATGTCCCCTCGACAGGAAGTTCAACAGGGAGCGGGCCCCCCCCCCCGCCCCCCCGACCAGCCCGGCCCCTGATTGCCCCTCCCCACCCCAATCAGGGGCCAGGCTGGCAGGACAACCTCCTGCATCCCCTCCCCCCAGCCCGGCCCCAATCGGGCGGGCCAGCCAGACCCACCCATATACAAATTCATGCACTGGGCCTCTAGTTTAACCTATAATTTCCTTCAATGAGTGCTCAAAACCAACATTTGAGGCTTTGTCAATAGTGTTGAAATTGAGCTACATCCTACATCTATGAATTAATATTGGAGAGAACACTAATATATAAACATATGCACATGAATATATATTGTAACAGTGTCTAACAGCACAACATTAGAAACCAACTGATCAATAGGGAACTAGTAAAATAAGTGATAGTCCATTCATACTCAGGAATATTATGTAGCTATATAAGGGAAGTCAGACCTCTATGTACTCAGCTAAAAATATACCCATGTTATGTGAACTAGGTATAAAAACAAAGTTGTAGAAGAAAACATATAGTATAATTTTTTTAAAGGAAGAAATTCCCTGTGTAGGTACTATGTGAGCATCATAATAAAACAAAACTATCTTTTAAAATTAAATTAAAAAATAAAGTGAGCTACTCGTAGCCCTCTATTTCAAACCCTAACTTAAGTAAACAGCTATTAAGAATGGCCATGACCATGGGTTCCCCCAGCTGTTATTCAGGGGCAATAGCGATAGCATCATCAATTAAACTGGAGAAAGTAAAGGAGAGACTAGAAAAACAGAAATATCTAAAGAGAAACAAAAAGGGAACTAGAGGAAGGAGTCCTAGGATGGGGGAAAAAGAAAAAGATGAAAGAGAGGAAAGAAGCAAAGAAAACAAGTGAAACCTTTTTAAAGCTGCATTTCTCAGCTACTAAACAAAATATACTATAGAAAATACTTTCAAACCTACACTGTAAGGGGTTGCTTCCATTTGGGACTGTTTGTATTGTTACATTTTTCTGTCTTCTTTGACTGTCCATCTACTGTAACTTCCACATAAGGACTTGGTCCAAACCAATTCTTTTTATTTTCTTTAAGTTTTGCTGAAATGACTAAAAGAAAAGAAAAAACATTTCAATATTTGAGTTGACAGTTTGATAGTTCATCTTCAAATCACTTTACTTTCATAAAGGTTATTTAAGCATTATTACTTTTACTCAGAGGAGCAGGCTTACTCTAATATTTACTAATTTTATTCACTCATGAATATTTTCTCCCATTCCAGTAAATTAATATAGGACTTCCCCACACCATCCACCCAAACTCCCATCAGTATCATTGGTATAGTAGCCCACTATCATTATCAATCAACCCAGAACTCTGAGGTCAATTAAATAGTGTACTATAGTCCGGCCAGTGTGGCTCAGTGGTTGAGCATCGACCTATAAACCAGGAGGTCATATGCCTGGGTTTCGGCTCAATCCACAGTAGGGGGCATTCAGAAGGCAGCAGATTACTGATTCTCTCTCATCATTGATGTTTCTCTCTCTCTCTCCCTCTTCCTTCTCTCTGAAATTAAAAAAAAAAAATTTAAAAAGCGTTTCTCCCCTCCACTCCCCCAAAAAAAGTATACTGATAAACTTGGTCAACAAATATTTAAATGTCTACCATGTGTCAGATATTGCTCTAAACTGTGGATAGAGCAGTTTACAATAGAAAAGGCATTGGCTCTCAAGAAAATGAGATCCTAGTTAGAGAAAAATCCTTGTGACGAAAAACAAACTAATGTGGCAGAATGGCTTGATAGTAAGGAAGACCTCTGAGGAAGTACTTTTACAAAGCATCTAAATGGCAAGGAGCTAGGCATGTGAAGACTGGAATTGTGAACAGAGTTTGGCATATCCAAGGAAAAGTACAGCAAGTGGGAAGAATAGTAAATGAAATCACATTAGGGTGTTAAGCCAAGATAAGGAATTTGGATTTTATTTAAGCATGCTGGAAAGCCACTAGAAGAACAGTTATAAACTAGGATTACTTTTAGCATCTCATAGATCTCATTATATTTGCAAGAGCTTCCTACATTGTGCATCTTGAGATACTGACTCCTTAGCTTTAACCCTTGAGTTAGTCACTTTTGCCATAAATAGCCCTGTCCAAGCCCCTTGGATGGTACAACAAATATATGCCAGTCTAGCAGAGCACCCCATGGTTTCCACAAGTAACAACGCATTGCTTCCGTACAAACTAGGTGATCATAGCCAAGGAAATACTCTACCCCCTGGGTATCTACTCTAGCAGAGAAGTTTAGAGTAGCAGTCACCAACCAGTGGTCCGCAGACCACTGATGGTCTGTCAGGTCTGAAAGGTTGGCGACCACTGGTTTAGAGAATGCCACTGCCCATCAAGGTGAAGGGACCGTTTGTAGATGCTAGCAAAGTTTGTATAGCAGCTACCCAAGAAGCTCAATATACAGTACAAATCACAGCTAGTCTGAGCATCCTAGCAGGCATAGTTCCAGATGGCAGCCCTGAATCTCTTGACTTCACACAGATCTGATAATTCTGTCCTTTTGTGTTTCTGTGCCTTTTTTTTTTAATATATATTTTATTGACCTTTTACAGAGAGGAAGGGAGAGAGATAGAGAGTTAGAAACATCAATGAGAGAGAAACATCGACCAGCTGCCTCCTGCACACCGCCCAGTGGGGATATGCCTGCAACCAAGGTACAGGCCCCTAACCGGAATCGAACCTGGGACCCTTCAGTCCGCAGGCCGACGCTCTATCCACTGAGCCAAACCGGTTACGGCTTCTGTGCCTTTTTGGTAGCATTCCAACTAGCCATAGACTTACTATTCTAATGATGTATGCACATTCAATAAAGTAGAACTTCATCATTATTTTGAAATGCTTTTTATAATGAAGTTCAATCTAATTTGAAATCAATATGCATTAAAAAAAAAAAAAAAAAAAGGCCCAGCTGCAGTGGCTCAGTGGTTAAGCATTGACCTATGACCCAGGAGGTCACGGTTCGATTCCCAGTCAGGGTACATGCCCAGGTTGCGGGCTCGATCCCCAGTCTGGGGGGTGTTTAGGGGGTAACTGATCAATGATTCTCTCTCATCACTGATGTTTCTATCTCTCTTCCTCTCTGAAATCAATAAAAATATATTTAAAAAAAGAAGGAAAAGCTATAAGAGATACTGCCAGAAAGGGAGGCAGTAAGGAGCCACTGAGGACATTTAAGTAATAGAGTACTATTCAACAAATTTACTGGGTGCCTGTAACACATCAGGTATTATTATGGGCACTGAGGAAACAGATGATCAGATTAACACTCAAACATCATTCTTCTGCTGTGGGAAAAATAAGTTAAAGGGAGACAAAAGTAGGGGATAGAGGCTAATAGAGTCATTTTAATCAAGAAATAGATGGTGGTTGCCCTGGCCAGTTTTCTCAGTGGTCAGAATGTTGGCCTTGGGACCCAAGGGTCTGGATTCAATTCCACCTTGGTTACAAGTTCCCCAGCCCTAGTAGGGGTGAGTGCAGGAGGCAGCCAATTGATGTGTTTCTCTCACACAGATGTTTCTCTTTGTCTTCCTCCTCCCTCCCTTCCACACTCTCTCTAGAAATCAATGGAAAAAATATCCGCTGTGGGGATTAAAAAAAAAATTTGAAAGTGGTTTGGACTAGGGTGGTGAACATGGATATGGGGAAAAATAACTACTTCCTAAGGAGAACCAATAGGATTAGATTGCATGTGGAAGTCGGGAAAAGAAGCAACAAGGATAACTCCCAGGTTTCTGGCATGAGTAGCTGGAGAGAAGATGGTATCATTTAATAATATGGAAAAGAACATGATTGAGGAGAGTGGAATGGGCAAGAAATCAAGAGTTTAATAATGAGTGTATAAAATTTGAGATGCTATGGGACATCTAAGGGGAAACACTAAGTAAGAAGTATTTTTCAGAACAGAATAGTATAATCAAGTGGAGACCAGACCCACCTCTGATTAATGTGTACTATAAAGCTCAAGTACTTAATACAGAACCAAATTCAATCATAGGATTGCCACAGAAAAATACAAAATTCCTATTTTTAATTCGTTTATAGTCTGAGAAAAGAGGAAACAAGCCCAAACAATTATGCAAAAATATTACGTTTCTGGGGGCTCTTGTGGTCCTCTGAAACTAATTAAATCTAGAACAAAGAGCAACTGCAGACCTGATAGGAAGAAAATATTCTGCCCTTAATGGCTTTTTAGGGTTCAAACTTTTTTTTTTTTTTTTAATATATTTTATTGATTTTTTACAGAGAGGAAGGGAGAGAGATAGAGAGTTAGAAACATCGATGAGAGAGAAACATCGATCAGCTGCCTCCTGCACATCTCCTACTGGGGATATGCCCGCAACCCAGGTACATGCCCTTGACCGGAATCGAACCTGGGACCTTTCAGTCCACAGGCCAACGCTCTATCCACTGAGCCAAACCGGTTTCGGCTAGGGTTCAAACTTTTGAAAGCTATTTTGCCACATAACACCACCCAATCTCACAAAGTCATTTCAGGAAACTTTAAATGGGTAAATGAAAGAGGAAGGAAACTAACATCAACTATTAGAATTTACGGTGTGTATGATGCTTATTGTCATTCCAATACTCATCATGACTATTCTGTGAGATAGGTATTATCATCTTAATTTTTAAAATATATTTTATTGATTTCAGAGAGGAAGGGAAAGGGAGAGAGAGATAGAAACATCAATGATGAGAGATAATCATTGATCTTGCATGCCCCACACTGAGGATTGAGCCTGCAACTAGGCCATGTATCCTGACCAGGAATCGAACCCTAACCTCCTGGTTCATAGATCCATGCTCAAACACTGAGCCACGCTGGCCGGGCATCATCTTAATTTTAGAGAATCTCAATGATTCCCTAATGCCAGCAAAATTAAGTTTTAACTCTCCTGGGGCATTTTATATTGTTTACTATGTACTCTCAGCCTCCTCCAATACCAAATCCCACCCAGCCCGTAGTATTCTAACCACCAGTAACTGTTTGCTGTTCCTCACAAAGGCCATGCACTTTCATGCCTCTATGTGCTACACCCACCCTTTTCCACCCAATAAAATCCTACTTCTTAAAAGACAAACGCCCCCTTCTCTTTGATTGAATACTTCTTTAAATCTAAGAAGTTAATTGTTCCTGCCTCTATGCTTCCATAGCATTTTCATATTTATATATGTCTCCTACAGCTTTTCATTTCTAGTTTTTTAGTAAATGTATTACGTAGTTTATATTTGGTTTAATTCACCCTATAATAACCTTCATGGCAAGGATGTAGCTAGTCTTTATCACTCCTATAGCACTTAGTGATTTAAACCTGAGAAACATTTAAAACATTTGTTGAACCAAATGATTAGTCATAGTAGAAAACAAGTTTCCCTGCTTTATAGTCTCAGTCTCTCTCTCTCTCTCTCTCTCTCTCTCTCTCTCTCTCTCTCTCTCTCTCCTCTCTCTCTCTCTCTCTCTCTCTCACACACACACACACACACACACACACACACACACACACACAATATTAGTGTTCTTCTGATCCTTCTGTTCTGAAGGTCAGGGCTTTGAATTAATTTCAGTCCTTCACCTTACTTCTCTGGTGCAAAATAAAAACTTTGATAATTTAAATATATATAAAAAAAGTGACTCCAATTTATCTAACATATTTTGGCAACCAGGAGACTATTGAGAACAGAGTAAAATAAGTAAGGGTGCTGAGACCAGTAAATTAGCCTTATGATGGGCTGATAAGAGATGAAACCAGTTAGGCAAGGGCTACCTCTATGGGTCAGAAGTCATGACAGGCCTCTGTGGCAAAACTATGTCTTAAATATGAAGGACCAAGCAATCAGAGCTAAATACATGGTAGTCTAGTAAATTTGGGGAAATACAATAATATTTAATTCCAATTAGTAATAACTAAAATCAAGATGGTTTCTCTTCCTCAGATGATGAGTTATGAGTAAAGACTGAGACTAAGAAATGTCTAGAAAATACCGAAGTACTTACTTTGCCAACATAGTATAATGTGTGCATATAGCAAACATCAAATAATACACAGATAAATTTAGTATAGCTGAGGTTATATATAGAACATAATTAAACAGGAAATGACTAGAGAAAGGATGTAAGAAAACAGATTTACATCCCAGATAAGGGACCCACACAACAGGATTAGAGAAAAAGTACATGATCCAGGAAATGAAAAGTAAAAATCAGCAGAATCTAATATGGACAGGGATATAAAGGATAATGGAAAAAGAGGTAAGAAAATTTTAAATATGTGATCCAACAAGTTAGTCTTTTGATAGTAATGTTTATACTTACATTCTGGCCATAAATTAAACTTTTACAATAAATATTAATGGTCTTTCCCAAAACAGTACCATTCTTACCAGTCATTTTGGCTCCTTTTTAAAATCCTACCTAATAATAGAGAAACATGGTAATTAACCGTAACTTCGCTACCCTTCCCATTGGCTAATCAGCAAGATATGCAAATTAACTGCCAGCCAAGATGGTGGCCAGCAGCCAGGCAGCTGAAGCAAACAGGAGGCTTGTTTGCTCCAGTGATGGAGGAAGCCAAGATTCCCCGCCTGCCGCAGCCCAGCTCTGAGCTCCGGATGAAACAATGTTGCAATTATAGAACCTAAACAAACCCCAGGTACCTGCTTTCAGCCAGCGGGGCCTCAGAGCTCAGAGCGGCCAGTGATGGCAACAGAGTTTCAATTATAGAATCTAAACAAACCCAGGTACCTGCTTTCAGCCAGCAACAGACTCAGAGCTGGAGCCGGCTCTCAGCTCCAGTGACAGCTATAGAAGGTAAATAAATCCCAGAATAAAAAAAAAAAGAAAAAAGGAGAGGTTGGGAGCTTCAGTCGCCCACCAGCCTGAAAACAGCCCTCAGCCCTTCACCCAGACTGGCCAGGCACCCCAGTGGGGACCCCCACCCTGAAGGGGGTGTGACCAGCTGCAAACAGCCATCAGCCCCTCATCCAGGCTGGCCAGGTACCCAAGCAGGACCCTCACCCTGATCCGGGACACCCTTCAGGGCAAACCAGCCAGCCCCCACCCATGCACCAGGCCTCTATCCTATACAGTAAATGGGTAATATGCAAACTGATCCTAACAGCAGAAGGACTGGGAATGACTGATCACTATGACACACACTGACCATCAGGGGGCAGACGCTCAATGTAGAGCTGCCCTCTGGTGGTCAGGGCGCTCTCACATGGGAGGAGCTCTGCTCAGCCACAAGCCAGGCTGATGGCTGCCAGTACAGCGGTGGTGGTGGGAGCCTCTCCTGCCTCCTCAGCAGCGCTAAGGATGCCCGACTGCAACTTAGGCCTGCTCCCCGCTGGCAAGTGGACATCCCCCGAGGGCTGCCGGGCTGCCAGAGGGATGTCTGATTGCCATCTTAGGCCCAATCCCCCGGGGAGTGGGCCTAAGCTGGCAAGATGGTCATCCCCTGAGGGGTCCCAGATTGCGAGAGGGCACAAGCCGGGCTGAGGGACACCCCCCATGCACAAATTTTTGTGCACTGGGCCTCTAGTATATATATATTTTTACTAGAGACCCGGTGCACGAAATTCGTGTGGTGGTGGTGGGGGGGTCCCCTCAGCCCAGACTGCACCCTCTCCAATCAGGGACCCCTCAGGGGATGTCCGACTGCCAGTTTAGGCCCAATCCCCAGATCAGGACTAAACTGGCAGTTGGACATCCCTCTCACAATCCTGGACTGCTGGCTCCTAATCGCTCACCTGCCTGCCTGCCTGCCTGGTCGCCCCTAACTGCCCCCACCACTGGCCTGATCACCCTTCACTGCCTCTGTGTGCTGGCCTGGTTGCCCCCGCCAGCCTGGTCCACCCTTACTGCCCCCTCTGCAGGCCTGGTCGCCCCCAACTGCCCCCCTCTGCTGGCCTGGTCGCCCCTAACTGCCCCTCCCCTGCTGGACTGGTCACCCCCAAATGCCCGCCTGCTGGCCTAGTCGTCACTCACTGCCTCCCCCCCGCTAGCCTAATCACCCCCAAATGGCCCCCTGCCAGCCTGGTTGCCTCTTACTGCCCCCTGTGCTGGCCTGGTCACCCCCAACTGCCCCCCCTGCCAACCTGATTGCCCCCAATTGCCCCCCCTGCCGGCCTGGTCACCCCACGCAGCCTGCTTGTTCAGTCGTTTGATTGTCCCTCACTAACCCTTCCTGTTGGCCTGGTCATAGGCAGCCATCTTGTGAGGGTGTGAGGGTTAATTTGCAGGTTACCTCTTTATTATATAGGAGGACTGATTTCAGAGAGGAAGAGAAAGGGAGGGAGAGATAGAAACATCAATTATGACAGAGAATCAATGATCAGCTGCCTCCTGCACGCCGCCTACTGGGGATCGAGCCCTCAACCTGGGCATGTGCCCTTGACTGGAATCGATCCTGGGACCCTTTAGTCCCCAGACCAACACTCTATCCACTGAGCCAAACCAGCTAGAGCTGGCTCCTTTTCAATTAAAAAAAATGTTTTGATTGATAATGTTAAGAAAGGCAATCCTATATAATAAAAGAATATACAAATTAACCCTAACGGCAGAACAACTGGGAATGACAGTTGCTATGACACACACTGACCACCAGGGAGCAGATGCTCAATGCAGGAGCTGCCTCCTGGTGGTCAGTGCACTCCCACAGGGGGAGCTCAGCTCAGCTCAGCCACAAGCCGGGCTGACAGCTGCAAGCACAGCTCCCGCCTCCTCGGCAGCGCTAAGGATGTCTGACTACGGCTTAGGCCTGCTCCTCATGGAGCAGGCCTAAGCCATCAGTTGGACATCCCCCAGGGCTCCCAGGCTGCCAGAGGGATGTCGGACTGCCAGCTTAGGCCTGATCCCCCTAGGGAGTAGGCCTAAGCCAGCAGGTGGACATGCCCCAAGGGTTCCTGGACTGCAAGAGGGCGCAGGTTGGGCTAAGGGGACACCCCCCTCAAGCGCATGAATTTTCATGCACTGGGCCTCTAGTTTATAATAGATGTCATGTCTCTGAAATAAGTATCCTGCCCTACCCGGTTTGGCTCAACGGATAGAGCATTGGCCTGTGGACTGAAGTGTCCCATGTTTAATTCTGGTCAAGGGCATGTACCTCAGTTGAAAGCTTATTCCTGTCCCTGGTTTGGGTATGTGAAGGAGGCAACCAACTGATGTATCTCTCTCACATTGATGTTTCTCTCTCTCTCTGTCTCTCCCCCTCCCTTCAACTCTCTCTAAAAATCAATGGAAAAAATATCCTCAGATGAGGTTGGGTGGTGTTATATGGCAAAATAGCTTTGACGTGGGTGGCGCAGAAAAAAGGAAGACCCCGGCCAACAGCCGGAAGGTCTCGATTGGCCCTGATCACCAGGCCTGGGGACCCTACCCATGCATGGATTTCATGCACCGGGCCTCTAGTTATTCATAATAGCCAAAAAGTGTAAACAACCCAAACACCAATCAACTGATAAATGGATAAATAAAATGTGGTATGTCCATACATGAAATATTATTTGGCAATAAAAAGAAATGAAATACTAATACATGTTATCCAAGAATGAATTTCCTGAAATATAAATGTAATTTTTGGCCTGGCCCATGTTGATCAGTGGTCAGAGTGCCAGCCTAAACAGCAAAGGGTTGCAGGTGCACACTGTGCCCCTACCCATCCACCCATAGGGGCGCATGCAGCCAATCAATGTGTCTCTCTCACATCGATGTTTCTTCCTCTCTCCCCCATCTCTTCTTCTCTCCCTTCCTTCCACACTCTTTTTGAAAAGCAATGGAAACAATATCCTCGGGTGAGGATTAACAACAAATATGTAATTTTTACATATATACACATTTTGTTCATTCATTAAGCAAATATTAATTCAGCACCTGATATGTAACTAAAGATTTTCTTCTCTTAAGATTATTTTTTATGTTGGGGGGCAGGGGGAATAAAGTATGGGTCTTTTAAAGACTTACCAGTGATCTGAAGTTGTGATTTCATGGTCAGGCTACCCATTGAACCAAGCTGTGATCCACTGTCACACATACCACCAATAGGACAGCAAACCTGAACATGGCAAAAGAAAAACTTGTAAACATCAAAAAATTCTCATTTTAAAAATATGTAAATGGGGCTAACCAAGCCATTTCCACATCCCACTGAATGCGAGATAATAACCAGTGGTCTTCACATTGCTAAATATAATTTTCAATTCTAAGTATTCATCCTGCCTAACCTACCAGAAAAATCTGACATGGTTGATCATTCCTCCTTCCGAGATTTACCTTCTTTCCTTGAGTTTCCAAGACAAATTCTCTAGGTTTATGTCCTACCCTCACTGATTGTTCCTTCTTAGTCTCCTCTGACAATTCCTTCTCTCTGTATGCTTTTCACGTTGGAGTAACCTAGGGGTCAGTTATTGGCTCCTTCTTATCCTGATACTCAGTTCCTCAAAAATATCATCCATTCTGCACAGCAAAAGAAACAAAATGAAAAGGAAGCCCACTGTGTGGGAGAACATATTTGACAATGATACATCTGATAAAGGGTTAATTTCCAAAATATATAATGAACTTATACAACTTAACAAAAGAAAAACAAACAACCCGTTTAAAAAATGGGCAAAGGACCTAAATAGGCACTTCTCCAAAGAGAACATACAGAAGGCCGAGACATATGAAGAAATGCTCAAAGTCACTGATCTACAGAGAAATGCAAATTAAAATGACAAAGAGGTATCACCTCACACCTGTCAGAATGGCTACCATCAACAAATCAACAAATGACAAGTGCTGGCAAGGACGTGGAGAAAAGGGAACTCTAGTACACTGCTGGTAGGAATGCAGACTGGTGCAGCCATTATGGAAAGCAGTATGAAGTTTCCTCAAAAAATTAAATATGGAGCTGCCATTTGACCCAGTGATCCCATTTCTAGGAATATATCCTAAGAAACCTGAAACACCAATCAGAAAGAATGTATGCACCCTATGTGCATAGCAGCACAATTTACAATAGCTAAGATCTGGAAACAGCCCAAGTGCCCATCACTAGATGAGTGGATAAAAAAGCTGTGGTATATTTATACCACGGAATACCACGCAGCAGCAAAAAATAATCTCTTACACCCTTTGAGACAACATGGAGGAACCTGGAGAGTATCATGTTAAGTAAAATAAGTCAGTCAGAGAAAGACAAGTATCACATGATTGCACTCATATTGGAATATAAGTAACAAAATAAATTGATGAGTGGAGAATCGCGGGGGTAGAGGTGGAGTGGAGGGGGGAAGAGATCAACCAAAGAACTTGTATGTTATATGCATAACCCATGGACACAGACAATAGGATGATGAAGGCCTGGGGCAGGGGATGGGGTGGGTTACAAGGAGTCAATGGAGGTAAAAACGGGACATATGCTATACTTTCAACAATAAAGATATACGTAATAAAAAAAATTTAAAAAAATATCATCCAGTGGTATGGCTTTACATATCATCTATATACCAAAGAGTTCCAACTTTATATTTCTACTAGAGGCCCAGTGCACGAAATTCATGCACTTGGGGGGGCTATCCCTTGGCCTACCCTACACCCTCTTGCAGTTCGGGAGCCCTCGGGAGATGTCCGACTGATAGCTTAGGTCTGCTCCGGGGGAGCGGGCCTAAGCCGTCAGTCAGACATCCTTAGCGCTGCCATGGACGCAGGAGAGACTCCTGCCACTGCCACTGCGCTCACCAGCCATGAGCCCAGCTTCTGGCTGAGCAGCGCTCCCCCTGTGTTAGTGCACTGACCACCAGGGGGCAGCTCCTGCATTGAGTGTCTGCCCCCTGGTGGTCAGTGTGCATCATAGCCACCAGTCGTTCCACTGTTCGGTTGATCTGCATATTAGCCTTTTATTATATAGGATCCCAAACTTTATTCCTCAACTCTAAACAACTTTACTTGGGTATTTAAAGACATCCCAAACTTAACACATCCCAAAATGAACTCCTCATCTTCCCCGTAAATTATCTCAGTTAATGGCAACTCCATCCTTTCAGATGGATGATCAGGCTAAAAAAAAAACCTTGGAGCCACCCTTAACTCCTTTCTTTAATATTTGCCTTCCAACCTGCAGGCAAATTCTTTTCTCGCTATTTGCAAAATACATCCAGAATTCAACCATTTCTCACCACCTCGACCACCAATATGTTCAGAGCTTCCTCTGACAGCCATCTTTTCCCTAGATTATGGCATTAACCTAAAAGGTCTTCCTGTTCCTACCCTTGTCTAGCCTCAGTATCTATTCTCAACACAACCAGGATGACTCTTATCTAAAAGACCTAATATGATATGTGCTTCCAATTTCCTGATTTCCTTCTATTCTGCTCCCCTACTCAGGCACCTACTTCCATGTTATTCTAGCATGCTCTAGCCTTAGGGACCTTGATTCTATTTGATCTCTTGTCAGTTTTACAATCTGTTCCACCTATCCTGGTCATTTTCTTCTACTGACTATATCACTTTCTGACATACTAAGTAATTCACTTTGTAGTTCATGGGTTCTGACACTCTAGGCTAGAATACAAACTCTAGATGAGCAGGGGTTTTGTGGTGTTCATTGATGAAACCCAGAAGCCCAAAACAGTGCCTGATATACAGCAAATCCTTAAATAAATGGCTATTGAATTATATTAAATGAAAACCTGTAACATATCTTCTTCAGTCACTAATCAGGAAAGAGTTAATCTCCATGTGAAAACAGCATGATTCATATAACAAATCCTATATAATAAAAGGCTAATATGCAAATCGACTGAACAGCAGAACGACCAGTTACTATGATGCACACTGACCACCAGGGGGCAGATGCTCAATGCAGGAGCTGCCCCCTGGTAATCACTGCACTCCCACAGTGGGAGCGCCACTCAGCCAGAAGCCATGCTCACGGCTGGCGAGCTCAGCGGTGGTGGCAGGAACCTCTCCCGCCTCCGCAGCAGCGCTAAGGATGTCTGCTGGCTTAGGCCCGCTCCCCAGGGGGGAGCAGTCAGTCGGACATCCCCTGAGGGCTCCTGGACTGTGAGAGAGCACAGGCTGGGCTGAGGGACACCCCCTCCTGGGTGCATGAATTTCATGCACCGGGCCTCTAGTACTTTATAAAAGTAGGAACACTTGGGCTTGATTCCTAGCTCAACACTTACTATATGATATCATTTAAATTATGTATAACCTCGCTAGGTCTCAGTTTCCTGTCAGAAAAATGGGGCTAATACCACCTCTACCTCACAGGGGTTGTTGTAAACTTTAAATGTTTATGTTTTTGGAAAAAAAACAAACCTCTGTAAATGTTTGTTACTTATCATTAATAGTATTTGAATTAAACTAAATATGATTTAAAAATAAAAAAAACTGTTCTTAGGCTTTTGGGGACTGAATAAAAATATCAGAAATATTTTAAATAGGCCAAGGTAAAGATTAAAGTCAAACAAAATTTACTTAGCACTTACTATTTGCCAGGTACTATGAAAAAAGTATACACATACAAAAAAGCAAACAAAATATATTTAAACCCTAAACATTGTCTTGAGTTTTTATACAAAGTCCACTTAAAATTTTAAATATAAAATAATTCTGATGTTTTCCCAAATCTACCAAAATGAAATAGAACAATAATTCCTACTGAGGTGAACTCTATGAAATCTAATGTTTCGTTCCTGGACTTACATATGAAAACATTCAAAGCTAAAATTTTGGCCTTACTATAGTTTTGGTCTGATATATGTAGTTTTCCCTTCACCTTCTTTATTTATTTAAATTGTACCATTTTATATCTTTTATAACCTATAATTTACTAAAAGAGCCATTTTAAGATTTTAAAAATGATTTTTAGAGAGAAAGGAGGGCAGAGGGAAAGAGAAACATCAATGTGACAGCAAAACATAGATTGGCCACCTCCTGCATACTCCCTTACCAGGGATTGAACCAGCAAACTGGGCAGGTGCGCTGACTGGGAAGTGAACCAGCAACCTTTTGGTGCACTGGACAACACCCAACCAACTGAGTCATACCGGTCAGGGCAAGCCCTTTTATTTTAAACTAGAAGCCTGGTGCACGAAATTCATGCACAGGGGCGGGGGGGAGTCCCTCAGCCTGGCCTGTGTCCTCGCGCAATCTGGAACCCCTTGAGGAATGTCCTACTGCTGGTTTAGGCCCAATCCCTGCAGTTAGACATCCCTCTTGCAATCCGGGACCACTCTCCCCTATCTGCACACGTGCCTGCCTGCTCGTTCCTAATTGCTTGCCTGCCTGCCTGCCTGCCTGCTCAGTGTGCATCATAGCGACTGGTCGTTGTGGTCATTCTGGTGTAATGGTCACTTAGGCTTTTATATATTTATATAGATAGATAGGGAAGGCATACACCATAAATAAAGTCGTTAGAAGTCACCCAGAATATAAAAAAAATGAGGTGTTAACAGAAAAGCTTTAACACTGCATTTCAAAGGATATTCTTGTGATTCAAAGTGCTTGTTATAGAACGGGCCCTCAAAGACATCATTATCACATTCTGCATAGTTATTATCTTCTCAATACCCAAAAGACTGTTTACCACAGAACTCAACATCAAGACAAGCAAATTAAGAGGCAGTAACAAAAGTCCAATATCTGAGTGCTGATTTCATGCATAATCTATATCAACAGTTGCCTGCTAGGAAAAAATAGTATAGTGTAGGTTATTTACTCTAAACTAATATTAATTCAAAGTTGCAAAGAAAATCTAAAATCTCTAGAGATAAAACACATTTTAAAAACAAATTAACTTTATATAGAAAGACTGATGACAGCATATATATACTATAAACATATTTAGGAACAGTGATTCTCTCCAGATAATTACAGAGAATCACTATGAAAGAATTGTGAGATGCTCTACAAAAAACATGCTGGCAATTTTAATAATTTAAATTCTTGAAAAGAATAAAAATTACTGTTTGTATAACAGTAAAAAAGAAAACTACAGAAATGGCCTAAATATCAATTGGCAACCAGTTAAATAAATCACATATTCATACCATGCAGCCATTAAAACAAATAACTTATTAATGGCTAAAATGGAATAATTCCATGAACATTTTAACATCACAGAATATACACAATGTAATGTTATTTTTGGAAACAAAATATATATTTGTGCATAGACTTACAAATAAACACAAAAAAGTTTATATCCCAAACTGGTAACAGTAGTGGGTGAGGGAGGTCTGTGTGTAATAAAGAAGGTAATCATTGGGAAACTTAGGTTTTATATGTATTGTTTGAGGTTTTAAAAAGAAACCGTGTAACACTGATGACTTGTAGAATTTATAAAACAGGCAAGACAGGGGATATGCTGTCAGGGGGTAACTAGACTTATCAAGTAATATAATTTATATAACTGTCCTAACCATATATACACTGTATACCTAAAACTAATATACTACTGAATGTCCACT